TTTCTAAATTCGAATAAAATCAATATTTCAGAAGCATGATACTTGCCAATTCTTCCATCCCAAAAAAGCAACCGAGATTTTTCGTATTCTCGTATGAAGTAATGATGTTCAAGTTCAAGGTGTTCTGGCGATAGCGTTTCTGGGCCATGCTGTTCACGTCAACAACGATAATTAGTTCGCTAATTCGGTACGCTATCTTTCCAATCGATGCAACGAGAGAGCTTGTGTTAGGCCGTGCCTCAGACTGCAAGAGAGGGTATTCTATCAGCAGCAGCAGACCCTGAGCTTTGGCGACCGTTTTTCCTTCTGTCTGCAAATAATCTTGAACCTGCAAAGGGTCACAGAAACTCGATGCTGCAGATAATCCAAACCGTGGATTCGCATTCGTGGGCATTCGGAGCCCGTCGGGAATCTACCAGGAGTGACACGATGGTGCCTTGTGCCATTTGCGCTGCGCTGAGGCGTGCAATACGCAAAGGGATCAAAGAGACCAGGACATGCTGCGGCTTCAATCGAGGTTGCTGCTGAAAAATATTGCAAAGCTCCGGCGCTGGGACAGCTTGAATCATGTTTCTCTCAGTCACAGGATTAGGCACACATTTGCAGGGAGAAGGCTGAAAAAAACTCGTGCATGGCTTTGCATGAGCTTTCTATGCTTCATGTTGGACCCCACTGCCACTCCCACGACTCCTGCTCCTACTGCTACTACTCCTACTATTGATTCTACTCTACTTGTACTGTTACTGATGTTACTACTACTGCTACTTTTCTTACTACTGCTGCTCCTTCTGGTACTACTCCTACTACTGCTTCTACTTCTAAATGCCCAGGGACCTGCTTCCTCTAGCAATCTAAAAGATGGGCACCTCTTTTGCTTCCAAAGGGCACGCCAGCCTGACTGACTGCCAAAAGAATACTTCTTGGTGAATTGTTTCTTCAACAAGGGAATTGCTCGTGGCAGCGCTTGCTTGATCTATGGAGTCTTTGGACTGTCATCTAAAGACATCAGATTTTGCCACACTGCCTGGGAAAGGACTTCGACAGCACGGCGGGGAATTGGGCAGAGGCCATCGGCAGCAGTGTTGCGACAACTGGGAACAATGTCATGGCACAGGCGCGGCTAGCCGCTGGCGGAACTTGGAGATGGAATGGCTGAGAACACGGCGTGATTGCACCTTGAGGGCACGTGCCAGACGCCATCAGCACATGGCGTGCTTAACTCGGGCCCAATGGCTGCTTTGCACGTTCCTCATTGCTGCATGGGCTTCCTTTTTACCACCACCAGCCACTGTACGTCTTTGATGGATGGTTTGCTTCACTTCTTCTCCATCTCCGGCTTCCACCTGGCACGAAGCTATTTTTATATGTATATATGTATATATATATATATATGTAGATTCATCTCAACACTGGGAAACTTTGTCAAGCTTAACGTGCCCTACAAAACAGGCAGAAGAGTGGGAACTGGAAAAACCACAGGGGCTCTCAGTGCCCACACGTCCCAGGTGGCGTGCATGTATGGGACCTACAGCCTCTGCGAATCGAACTGGGCGCATGGATGGAGAAGAGGTGTTGAGAGCAAGCGGGCCCTTATCGGCACTAACAGCTTAAAAAGCTATGAGCCTCATGAGGCGTAAACGAAAAAAAAAACTAAGCACACTGATGAAATCTGCTGCGTGGGCATGTTTTGAAAGAACCCAAGCCCACTCTCAGAGCCTAAGGACTCAAAGACTCTTCTGAAAGCTCTCTTATCCTCCTCCAAGGGGCGCTGAGGAGCACTCTGCAGGAGCTCTCGCAGCTCTTGCCATAGGAACTCCTCGCTGCGCTCCTTGACCCTTGGCTTTGGCAGAGCTTTCTCAAGAGTTGTAGGAGGTTAATTATTTTGTAAGAAAACGGGGTGTAACATATTTGGGACCGTGGTTTTTGGATACAAATTTGCAGGGAAGTGTTGGGGTTGAAACACCGGGTGCGATTGCTACCCCCTCCCTCCCCACACGCCTCGTGCTATGGCCTTTGGTGCTGGTATCTGCCGTGGGGTAGGGAGTTCAGATTAAGGATTTGCATGCCTTTTCCACTCTGGCTCTTCACCGTCCCAAGAAGGCATGCCTCTTCTCTACAGCGGTTGAGGGCTTTAGGAGTTCAAAAAATCAAGAGTTTGGAGTGCAAGGCCAACTGCATCGACTACACAGGAGTAGGACCCAGGTTCTCTCCGGCTTGTATCCCATGCAGGCCCGAGTGTGCACTAAAAAACTGAGGTCAGACTCGCCTTGCTCTTGCGTGGCCCTCGAGCTGTACAAAACTAACTTTGTGGCTCAACGGCCGTTTGACTGCACCGCGCCCTCGTTCATACTCATCTTACTCATCTCGGAGCACTTCTGGATGTCGGAATCTCAATGCTCTGCATGCCGCGCTGGCTTCTCTCTCTGTCAAGAACAAATGATAATGCGACTCATCTTTTCTAAGCCAAACAACATCTCCACAAGGAGGGCGTGTAGTTCATATAAGCTGGATCCCATAGCACAGACTCATAGCACAATAACACAGACTCTCATTCAGGAGGTGGCGAGACAGCAAATTGCGGTGAAAAAACATGCTGAGCACATTATCATCCCAGTTCTGACCAAGCATCAAGGAGCAATTGAAGTAGCCGTGGCCCGCTTTCTTCCTGCTCGTTTTCATTGTGGAAGTGCCTATTTTGGATGCAGCTCGCAAGGTTTGTTTTGAGCCTACGCCCTCACGGCTTAGCAGAACGTGCGGCTGAGGCGAACCGGAGTTCACCGGCAAGAAAGAGGTGGGCCTGGGGTTGTCTCAGAAACAAAGTCGCCTAAACACGCCCCGAGCGGCCAGCTTCGGAAGCTTCAACGGAGTTTGGCGGAAGATGCCTGGTAAGAAACCAAAGTTTGCAGTCGGAATCATCGGAACCCAGGTGCCCGGTCCTGCGCCTCTTGGGGTAGTCACTGTTCGCCAAATCATCAGGAACCTCATTTTGAGTCTATCGATTTCAGGCTTTCGCAAATCAGGTTTGAAGGGTTTGCCGAGGGCGCGGGTGTGCAATCTTGTAACCGCGCCCACTGTCATCAGATCCACGTGAGTCTGGATTCGGGCTCTACCGGGTGTGCAAGATTACGAGATGTGGTTTCGTGATTCAAAAAGATTTTGCTGTCTGCTTTGCAGATTCTACGAGATGGAGCTACCGATATTGAGATTGAAGATTGCAGGATAGCCCACTGTGCTTTTGAGGTTTCAGGCTCAGCTCGGCAGCGGGGGGAGGCCTGTGCGTGCCTTCGATGTTGGCATGCGGGACTGGGAGCTTTGCCTCGACAAGCTTCGTGGTGTTGTCGGTCTGATACCAGCGGGCCATTTCCTGTACCTGGATCCAGCGATTCACGCGCTTGCTGACACATTGCCCAAATCTGCATCCCTAATTCTCCCAGCCATTAGCAAACAGGATCGCATGCAGGGGGAGTTCCTGACAGAGGTCCTTGGATGAACCCGAAAGATGAGCTTCAAAAGGGTAATTCTTACTAAGAAAGGTAAGTGTTGTGGACAAATTTGAACAACTACCACATACCTCACTCCGTAACTTGCTCAGCAATCCGAAGCTCATACGAATGGAGGAGGCTAAGAGGGCCGTCTGCACATAGCTAGCACCTCGGCACTTCACGATACATCCGGTGTCTGAGAGCCAAGGGTTTGAAAATTTTGGGCAGAGCAAAAGGTGCTGTTCATACATTCATCAGCCTGGTTTTGCACCCCCCTGCCTTGGAGATGATCGCGCTTACCTGAACAGCAGCAAGCAGGTAGCCTTGTGCAGAGTCTAGAATCTTAGAAGGAAAGGAAAAGCTCTAAGCTCTACATGCTTCATGAGCTTCCAACCCCGCAGACTGAGCTGAGCTGCATCCGCAAAGGAGGACATCGTGTCGCTTGGGGCGTGGATGCCGAGAACCACTGGCACATCCGCAAGATGAGAGATGGAGTTGTCCAAGAACCACTGGAACACATTTCCTCAGTGCTCTCGCTGCTACAAGGCCCGAGGCCATGAACCTTCTTCTGGCTTTGCGCCAATGGGATCTGATGCTGAAAGTCCCTGGGTTGAACGTTGCCACCACGATGCTGGGTTTCAATTTGTTCAGGCATCGGGTCTCAGCTGCAAGCTACTCTCAGATGTTGTTGCACTAGGTGGAATGAAAAAAAGGTGTGGGTCTCTGGGCTACAGCAACAGCGTCAGCAAAGAATTTCCAAAGTTCGAAGTTCTCACAGCCCACAGAAAACTTTGCCGGCAATCAGCTTTCAACTTGCCGTCACCGAGCAGTCTGAAACATTTTGTGTGGTTTTTCAACCACCGAGTCTAGCAACCACTCTAAAGCCGCTTCTGCTACCTGGCTTGGAGGGGAATTGCAGCGTTTTTCTGCTACAAGCAACTTCGGGCTTTGGCTCTTTATGCTACTTTCCGGCGAAGTGGCGCCCCTTGGGCTGCGGAGCGCCCGAGCGCTCCGTGGGCTCCAGTGTGCCTTCAGCTTGACAGGTGCTTCTTATGTGGTTTTTGCAGGGGAGGCTTCGGCGGCGTAGGCCCAAGATGGGTTTACCTTGAGGAACTCTCTGCGTACTGCGCAAGTTGGGATCGTTTTCGCTCCTAGCATCATGGAACTTCTGGTGCCGTTGCTACATCTTGCTGCATCTTGCTCATGCTCCACATCAGTCTCTCTCGCTCGCTCTGTAGACTCCTCATCCCGTCATGAACAAAACGACATGACTCGTTGCGCCGTCCATTGGGCCATAGCTGCTTTTGATGCGCTTCAGAATGCACCACCCGGCCATGAAATCAATTCGATCCGTGGAGGACATCATGACCCACATGAGTGAAGACTATGCTCACGACATGAACGAGGGCTTCTGACGAGGCTGCCTCCTCGTTGAAAGTTGCTTCTATGATTACTTGTGTGTTTTTGAGGGGTTCAGGTTTCATGATGTGATCTCGTAAGGGGACCGACTGTGTCGGGGCTACGTGCCGGACCCTGAACCCTTAACTGAGCACCCCGAAACACAAAACTGCAACCAACCGCAAGCTTAAAGGCGCATGAGGTACAGTATTATGCTATTAAATTGCTATATTTGTATAAAGCTTTTTCTTCTGTATTGCTACATGATTACATTAAGAAATCGATATTCCAATTTACGATTTGAATATAATCGCAAAATGAGAGAAGCCCTCTGTGGCAGCTCAGTGGCCCATGCCATACCCGGCCACGGAAACAACTGCGTCGTAGGACTGAGAGGCAAGGCTGAATTCACTGGACACGTAGAGCCATACGTGTCTATTCATACATAACAAACAACAAAAACATAGACATATTCATGTCTATATATATATATATACATATATATGTATCTATATATACACATATATACATATATATATATATATGTATATACATACTTGATCGTCGCCTATATACATCTAGAAACAGCTACAACTGTATCATTGCACTCACAGAGAGTGCACCAGGTGCACTTTCCAAGGCTGCGGGCCGACTCGAGAAGCACACTCGGAGTGTTTGGATTGATTGGACTCTTCTGAATAAGACCTGGGGCTCAGAACAAGAACTACGCCTGACTTGCGAATTTTTCCTCGCCTCTAACATGCTCAAAACTGCCCGTACCCCCCCCCCCCCCCCAAAGCAGAAAGCACAACAAAACAAAACTCCGTCAATCCTTTCCGAGCTCCCTGACCAGGAAATAAGCGACACAACGCTGTCTCAAATTTGAGCACCCGACCTAGCAAGAATCAAAGCAGAATCATTGAAAAGCGTGACCCAAAGAACCTTCAAACCCCGAGCATAGGTCTCCCCAAAGATATACAGTAAGACGCCGCTCCTGATTTTTTGGGGCGCCTCAGGCGCGAAGGAGCCAAGCTGGAGGGCTCCGAAGCCACCCATGCTGTACCTGAAACTCCAAACCCCAATGTGGCCAAGAAAAGGTGCTTTGGTTTCGAGGGGCTCATTGAGCGTCCTACACAGCTTCGCTTTTGTGAAGCGCCCAGCTTCGCTTTCCGGGCTTCCGGGCCGCAGCCTTGAGTTTTCGACTTTGTCTTGGTTGCACGCTGCTTGAAAGGCCCTCCGATCTCTTTCTTCTCCAAGCGGCCCCATCGCCATGACGCGCTCAGCTTGAAAGTACTCCGCCAACTCGTTGACCTCTCATGAGGTCTCGATTCTTGAAGTCTGTTTCGTGGGGTTCCAGGGCTTGGGGATGCGAAGAATGCTGGAAGCTTTTGAACGGAAGGAACCTAAATCCCAAATGTCCTCCAACCTTGAGCTGCGGTTTCCTTAATTGTTGGGAGTGCTTCCTCGCATGAATACAGACTTCGCTAGCCTTCATCCAAGCTATGTATCCGAAGCCTAAGCAAGACTCTATCGGAGCCGAACGCCCGGCACTTCGTGAGGATATGCAACAACTTGATGCCAATCTTCAACTGCACAGCACGCAAGACCTTCGAGGTCAACGCTGCGAGGAACGGTTTGTGCAGGTTCCCATTGACATAGCCCAGGTCCTGCTCAAGAACTGCGCGGAGGCTTGCTCAAGACTGCAATATGCCGCTGCGTTTCCCGCGCCTTGCGGTTCTGGGTCTTTGTAAAGGTGCAGCCCCAGCTGAAAAGCATTCCTGTTGAAAGATGCTGAAAAAACCCAAAGCACACCAACAACAGAATTACGGGGTTTTGAGGTCTAGGGGAGGGCCTCAGGAAATTCAAGAGAGCAAAAGGCTTTCTCTGCTTGCGCGAGGGTCCATCTTCTGATGGAGCCGGGCTTGTGGGTACCAAGTAGACCACCCGATGCCAAAGCCTCAGTGTGGTCAAAGCGTCAGTTTGAACAGCCTCCGCTTCCCCGGGCCGACTCCCCACTTCCGCCCTCTGCTCGTACTTTTTTCCGGGGAGGGAAGCGAAAACTTTGGATCCCCCGGCTTCAAGGCAAACTTCCGGAGAGCTGAAGGTAGGAAAATCAAAGGCATTCTTTGGTAGCAGCTTCTAAGCATCTACTGCATCGCAGAGATCGTCCTTACAGATCAGTAGACTGGGCAGGCACATCGCGATTGCCGAGTTCTCTCGTGCACGAAGCATCGCAAGGATGCTGCACTCAGGCCCAAGCTGAGCGCTTCGATACATGCCGAAAAATAGAACGTCACGGTAACTCGGATTCTTCTGAACACATATGCCTCACTCCATACCCTGGCTCTACTCCAAAGATTCGGTTTCCAGAACATGCCGCTTCTCATTTGGTTTGAGTATGAGATGTATAAGGATCCTTCCACTGCAGAGGTGAGTTCGGTTTAGCCAAAGTAAACCCAAGCACCGCCGCTGCATCTTCTCGAGCTCGGCGGCATGGATGGGCCCGTGGTGCATGCCATGGAGCCACACCACCAGATACCTTATCTGGCGGGTAGGATTGAAACTGTTGTGTGAAATGGGTGCAATGGGTTCAGGAAACCGAAGTGGGGTGGAAAGTGATTCGCTTGGGGTGTACCCTTCGGGGCTTACGTGTGTGACGAGTCTCACGGGTGTCGGCACAGCAGGCCAAGAAAGGGGAGTGTTGCATCACCCGACGCCCACCCCTTCACCCTATACACCCTTCGATAGTTCCTCATGAGGTGAATAGCCCCCACACGCTTAAGCCCCATGCTCTCGGGCTTCTGAGTGGAGGGTTTCTATGGTCAGGGTTTGTGGCTGCAGATATCGGGGGGGGAGGGGGGGGGTCCTGAGTTTGCGACGCTTCAGGGCTTCAACTTCTTGGGGATGTGGGCGGAGCCCTGCTTTTGGCCAAGCAGCGGGGGCTCCTCCAGTTGTCCCTGTGTCAGGCCAGAAGTCGAGTCATAGAGTCGGAGTGACGAGGGCCCAAAACCTAGGATACAGCGTTGCGAGTGCACCGGCTTGACAGTTTAGAGCTTCGAGAAGTGCAGTCAAGCCTTGAAATGTCGGTATTCGTCGGGTTTTCAGGGTGTCAGGTGCAAGCGGATGCAAAGTGCCTCAATATGCAATTGTGCTGGCGCCGGGGCTGGCCTGGAGTACTCCAAAGAAACTGTTGTTTTCAGCTAGGTTCGGACAACTGCCGGGGAATACAAATCAAGGTGAAGCTGCGAAGCTAGAACAAAACGAAACCTGACAGCAGTTCCGGGCTAGAACCCAGCGGACGGGAATTGGTGGCAGCGCCAACTGGCAAACACGCCTTTGGTCACAGGAGTATGGATGGGACAGGGGGGTGGACAGTGACTGTTGGTGAACGTGTGACAGGCCTGGAAACATGCACGGATCGTGACATGTTTTGAAGCAATAGTGTGGGAACTTACTTAGTGTCGGCTGATGGGCAACACAAGATCTGGACGAAAGGAAGACCGAAGCAACGCCTACATCCACTTGATGCGTTGCTGGTCTAGTTTTAGGGCTCGTGGCTTGGCCTTGTTGTGACAAGCTTTTAGTTCTGCTTCGAGGTGGTGTAAGGTGGTGGAAGAGGTGGCAAGTGAATCGGGCCCATCTTTCTTGCGGTCGAATGGCGAACCTGGTTCTGATACCCGAAAAAGATGTTGGATAAAGCTTTGCCTGAAGTTGGGGTTCAGGGGCTCAGACCTTTCCAAAAAGCCGAAAGCCCCCCCGCACTCCCCTCCCCCCTCCCCCCCCCCCCCCCAAGTTCTCCAGCAAGGCGCCGTCGCCGGTCAACTCCTCCTGCCACCTCAGCGCCGACAGCTTTCCTGAAAAAAACTTGCTCTTGTTGTGCGGGGGTTCTGAGGTCCCTTCGGCTGAGTACGGGGCTTTTCGATCTCCCTTTGGAAGATTCTGCTCAAGACAACTCTTTGGGTTTCTGTGCTTCGGCCGAGATGCAGCTCACGAATCATGGCCCGCAACCCGGGCTAAGCATGCGATAACTGTACAGAAAACTGAGGTTAGCAACCGAAATCTTGCGCTAGGGGTACAGCAAGGCCTTGGCCTCAGCTATGCACCTAAGGATGTTGCTCTGCAGTCGGTTTTAAAGGCTACTTCCTACTCTTATGCAGTTCTGCCGTTCGCGATGTGCCGCCTTGTGTCTGACCCTGGGTCCAAGAAGCTTCGGAGCAGCACTGGCAATCTCAAAGAGAACATCCGTCTCTGCATAAGGCCCACTGGCGGATTATCCCAAACTCCACCGCAACTCCCAGCATGTGCGCAGTTTTATTACACTGCCCCCGGTGCATTGCACAAGCACTGGTCCAAAGATCGTCTCACCTGCACACAGCAATCAAGGCTTGAACGAGCACTACGCGTACCGACAAAGTCATGGACAACTCTAGAAGCTTCGAGGGATGCTTGAAGGAATGAAGGGGAATGAAGGCGCCTGATGTTCGCACTCCTGCAGCTTGCCCGCCACCTTGCACGTGGCCCAAAGCAACTTGCAACGGTGAACTTGCTCTTTAGGAGGGGTTTGCAGCAAGTGCGCCTCTTGTTCTTCTGCCCACGAGAGGACTCCCGATCCGCCCGTCACAAAATTCCGTCATAACGTCATAATGAAATACAGATCGGGGTTTGACTTTAGGGCGTTAAAGGTTTCATGGGGATTAAACAACACACAAAGAAGCAGGACTGGAGGCTTCCTCTGAGCCGCGCGCGCCGATGAACACCAGCCGCGAAGATGTCGGCGTCCTGGCGGATTCTCAGCTCAGCGCTTCAGGGGTGCCTGAAGTGCCTGAAGTGCCTTCAGGGTTTTGCATTTTGTGGCGTGGAAAGAGGGTGTAGGCTAAGTGACAAAAAGGACAAGAGGTGCTTTGCGCGGCCCCGTTTTCTGCATCGCTGTGCGCCGCCGACAGGTCTTGAGGCAATGCTGAAGAGTCTTCGGATTGCAGGTTTCCGATGGTTTCCGGTTCAGGAGCAGGGGCTGATGGCGTTCAGGCAGCCCCAAAACCCCAATAGCCCCAGCAAATCAGACACATAGAGTCCCCAAGATGGCCAGTTTGTTGAGGCTTGGCAGTCGGCCAATCGACCGCCCGTGTGCATTTTGAATCCATTCTGAGTGCTGCGCCCCCCGCCAGTCACCGTCTCGAATGGATTCGTCCTGCCGCTGGCTCTCGTTAAACGTACTCTAAGAGACCGCTTGTTTTGGCGTCTTCAAGAACGGAGAGAGCACGGAGAGGGTCGTGGTTTGAGACGTTTGAGGCACTAGCTTGGGCATCTGCGGACCTCTAGACCGCACAAATGTGGCCTTGGATGAGAGTGGCCTTGAGTCTGCCTGTGCCTTGAACTCGCCTTTGGGAGTAAGAGTGTTGAAACCCCACAGTCGGTGTTGTTTCCGACCAGAGGTCGTGTTGCCCTTCTCAGGAATCTCCCGACAAGTTTGCCCCTGTACTCCTCTTTTGCAAAATTTGGAGGTACTCAGAACTCCCAGAGGCCTCTAACGCATCCCAAAGACTTCTTTTCCTTGAAGCCACTGACGCAGATGAGCGCTGTGCATTGCGGTGCCGCTCCTGTTGCCGGACAGCTGGAAAATCACGTGCCGTGGCACACCGCGCCTGGATCTTGGCAAAGTTAGTCCTCTAAAGTTTTTCAGCCAGTTCCGGGGTCTTATGGGCCTCTCGTGTGCTTCTGATTGTAGGAGTGTCGAGGCTGTGCTTCAGTTGTGAAGTGCCGAAGCTTCCTTCATACGAAGAAAAAAGAGACTGCTAAAAGAGGATTGCCCCTGAAAGAACCCGGCTCAAATCGCAGGACGCCTGGCACACGAAGATTGCACGCAAATGCGGTCCGTCAAAAACTTTGACAGGATTTAGCCGTCCTCTGTGTTCGTGGCTACAATCAATGGACACACTGAGTTGACACACGCTTGAGGTTTGAAGTGGGGTAGTAGCTTAGTAAGAACCTCAAATCACCACCCGATCATAGCTTTCCTTTGTGGTTCCTCTAGGTCTTATGGACGTGTGCTTGAAGCCTTCTGACTTGAGTCTAGTCGCATCCAAAGAAGGCCTTTGGCACGGCAAATGCTGCGTGGGAGCCCTTCCTGAGCTCAGGCACCGTTTGCAATTTCCAAGACGCGCTGAGAGGATTTCCAAAGGCTTCAGGATTTCAGGGGGGATTGGACTTCCTTGTGAACAAGGTGAGTCGGATGTCTGCGGGCCTCTACATGATGGTGGCTGCACCCGGACGTCACCGAAAGGCGGCACTGTACTAGCGCCTAACAAGATACATTGGCTCTGAACATCAGCCAACCAGACCCAACAATAGCACCCAGATCCCCTAGCCGCCCTAGCCCCGAAAGATCGACGCCCGTTTGAGCCCTCCACTTCAATCCACTCTTCGAAGAGCAGAGGGTCAAAGGGACGAGATGCCTCGATCCGTCTTGTTTGCAGGGCGGGTGTTGCAATTTTTCGAGGGAGGTTATCGCGAACGTAGCATGGGGTGGCAAGGAAAATAGCAAACGTGGTGGACGTGGCCTGGCCCAGCTCCTACAATGTCCGTCACGCGGAAGCTGAGGTAAAGCCCGAAGATCCCCCAGGCACCACTTTGCAAACACCTTGCAACTGAGGAGCCATGTAGACAAAGGACGCCGCGCTTTGACGATACACGTGTGGCTGGCCTGGCAATTCTGCCATCGTCAAGCGGTCCCCTCCGATCTTTCAAAGAGGTTTATGCACAATCTGTTGAACTTTGAGTTCTGAGTGGTGCACGTGGAGTGGAAGCACGGAATCTTCTATCCCAGTCGGTATGGCCAGAGTCGGTAGCTATCTGAATACTTCCTGTGTCTGCTTGTTTTGAAAGCCCCTGCAGTAATGACTAACCCCAAAGCAAGACCTCCGAGAATCCAAAGAAGCCCGGAAAGCCCCAACAACAGAGCTGAATGTGCTCCCCAGGGTACGCCCAATCGAGGCCCAGGCTTCGATCCACCTCTGGTGATTGGGGCCCGAAAGGGGTTGCTATGGAGGTGGTCTGGGAACGATCAAACGGTAAGCCTGAACAGCGGCCGACCATCGGCCTACTTTGGTCGGATGCTCGAGCTTCAGGCAAGATGATGGGTGAAACCTTTTTCGGAACTGTCGGCTACCAAAAACCATTCGAGAACAAACGGTTTCTGGGCTATCAAAATCATTCGAATGGTTTCCGGGCTACGAAAACCATTCGACGAATGGTTCCTGGGCTGCCAAGAGCCATTCGAGGGTCCTGTTTTGACGTTGCTGAAAGCCCTACGTGATTCTACAACGCATTTACCGTTGGTGTAGGTTCCCAAGCTCATACCAGGCGCATCTGGCGAGTACTCGGCACCGCGCCACAAGTTTCTCGCTCACGCGGCGCCTCTTGGTGGGCCTTGGTGGTGGTCTAACGCGTGGTGCTCTCGTGAAGAAGAGCTGCTGGATTAGTGGCGTTTTGACTGCTTCCTTAGCCTTATTTCATCTCAGTGCAGAGCAGGCATGCTTTCGAGGCATCATGATACGCTGGCACTAGCGCTGCGCAGATCTGTTCAGAACCTCAACTTCCACCCAGCGAAATAAGCATCCACCTGCGGGGACCGAATAAAGTGCCCCTCACAGAATGATCGAGCCAAAACCTGGGGCCCGAATCCCTCAGCAAGCTGCAGGCCTACTCCTCCTTAGATGCAGGGCCCCCCCTTCGCCCCCCCCACCCCCACTCTCGCCGTGCCCTCAACCCCCACATTGCAGGACCCTTTTGGCTGAGTGAGGTGCGCCGCTTCTGCCACGTCACCCGCAGTATCCTCGGCTGAGGGGCTGTATGAGGTGTAGAGGTCGGATCTGAGGTTTTGCAAGGTTCAGGATGTGAGGTTTTGCAGCTTGTTTCGGCCTTGTTGGAGCGCATACCTTGGGCTGCAGCCTTGTGTTCTCGCGTTCTTGGCATGAATGCGACTTTCAGATCGTGTTTCAGCAACCTCTTAGCACTTGAAGACTTTTTCCTGCAAAGATTGTGGCCGAGAGCTGAGGTTGCAGGGGGCTTCATCGCAGCTTGGGCACCCTGGCGTCCTGGTCGTCCCACGATGTCAGCAAGGCCAGATCCTCAGCCCGAGGGCAAAGGGGCTACAATGGCTACAAAGGTACAGTCAAGGGTCTGCGACAGTCTCCGAGCTCGTCCACTTCGAGGAGTGCACTCAGAGCACTTGGGATTCTTAAGCCCGACACATCTTCAGCAGCCACAAGGCTTAGACGCAAATCCCCAATTCCGAGACATTCCAAGTCCTCACAGATTTCGGTAAACAGCCATCGTAGGAAACACACTGAGATCCCCTCCAAAGCCCTCAGACCAAAGACACCAAAGAGGTGCTGTGGTTCGGGCCACTTCTGCGTGGGCTGCACGGATGATACGTGGAGCCGCCTGAGAAGAAGGCTGCTATCCCCTCGTAAGCATTGAAGGGTGCAGACACGTTGGCCACGGCCTTCAGTTTCAGCAGTGAAGGCTGAGAAACGGATTTCATGTGGATAGCCTGGATGGCCCTTTGTTTCGCGGCTTGTCTCTGGTGGAGCCGTGTTCCGATTCGCTCTCTGCCAGGAAGTAGCCATAGCCACGCTAAGGGAAGACTGGCGCGAGAAACCTAAGTAAGGGCCTCAGGGTTCCAAGGAACGCTGAGGTCCAGGAATCAAGGCTTGCCGGCTTCGTTCTTCAGGATTTTGGAACTTCACTTGTTCAGGTTTTGACGGGAAGGCCCAAGGGCTGAACTTGCATCCAACCGATGAAGCCTAAACCCTGTTCTCGTTCCAGCCCGCTATCCAAAGCCAGATCCTTAGTTCCCCAATCTCAGCCAGTCAATGGAGGGAGGATAAATGCCTCTTTCCGAGCCCAGCGCGGTCGACTGTGCCCCGAGGAGCTTCTGCAAGGATTCCTGGCGTAGATGCGAGAAGCCCTGCCCAAGCATCCCAGCCCCCTGGCTCTCGTATAGGTTTTGTACAAGGCATTCTCGTAGTGCCCTACGCGCCCGACCCGATGACTCTCTGCCCTAACACGCTATTTGTAGGAGGGACAAGAGAAGCGAATGGATCTGCATGGATCTGCACTTCAATTTGCACATTGTGCACAGTTGCTTAGAGCCCAAGATGAGGCCCAGCCCGAACCTCCGCCCGATCTGCGGCCGCGGATGCGACCCCGCCCAGCAGGTCGCATTTGTTCCTGGCATACTTTTCTGAGCTGCGTTCCTCAGAACCTCCAAATCACCAATTCAAGGGTAGAGACTGTGGGCAAGAGCTCCGTGTGATTTTTTGAATCGGTGCTGAGGGTTTTCTGAGTCGTGGCAACCAGGTCTCCACATGTCACACCTGAAGCTTTCACTGACAAACGTGTGCCGGCACAAGAGGATCAGGTCGCAGTACCTGGGCGCTGAGAACGCTGAGAGGCCACCCCACCCTCGAAGCCGCGAGAAGTGAGGAGAAACCGTTGCAACCTTGTAAAATCTTGTAAGCAAACTCGCACGAAACAAGCAGCGAAGGAGCCGTGAGGAGAGCCCTCTCCGGGCGCCAAATTCTGATTTTTACGGGGGGCTTCCTACGTAGTCCGCAGCATGTGCAGGGAACCTAGTGCTTCGGATGGAGTATAGGTGCCGGCTCTGGAGATGCATTCGAGGGCCTCTGCAGTTTTTAACAAACTTCGAGTTTTTCTTCACACTGCGCCAAGGTGCTTCAGTTGTTGCGATGCCGTGCTCTGGACGCCGAGCTCCTGATCGCATAGGCTGCAAAACCCTTGAAGCTCAAGCGATGACCCAAAAAATTTTGGCTGAACACTGCAGCTATGTTCTTTATGATCTGTCAAAGTGAGCCTCAGGTGCTGGAATGTGCATGCAAAAGCTGCACCTATTTGGTGTCCGAGCTGGAACGAGGGTTTTCTAGGCTGATAAGGCGGAGTACGAAGAGTTCGAACAACTGGGACTGAACAGGCTTCGCAGGGCTTCGCATGTAAGGCTTGAGTACTTGAGTATGACCGAAGGATACCAGAGTTTTGGGCTTGGGCAGGGCAATGGCCGGGGTTGCAGGAGCTGCTTTCCTAGCTTTCCTCTCCCGTGCCGGGTTTCGCTCATTCTTGCGAGGCGCTTGTCGGCCCTGGAGCCCCTGGAGCCCTTGGAGCCTTCATCATATGAAATAGCTTCAACATGCTGCGCGAAGATGCTATGGCTAACTTCTCAAAACCTCGACATAACAAGGGCATAGCACATAACTTTCAATCCTTTGGAAGGCATCCATGGAAACGTGTCTCAAGCCGCGTAAGCACAAACCCAACAACTTAGACACCCCCAACCCTGAGGTAAGGAAAGCACCAGGTTCGACATATCCTGGACACCCCACGCAAAAAATATGCCAAGGAACCCGGGGCCTCAGCAGCCTTGGGCAAGCAAGTGGACTCGTTGAAGTGGCTCGCATCCACAACGGTCACGACCTCAGCTGTAGCTGTGCAACTCTGTTGAGAGGGCTCCAACAATCCATCCTAAACCTCTTTGCATGCCTGGAACTGTGCAAGATACACATCCCGCCGCGAACCTAGGGCTCGATGTGAAGCTACCCTGTACCAGTGCTCAGAACCGAACTCTGAAGCCCTCGACTGCAGAGAGCAACAAGAAACCCACTTCCATCGACCCTCCGGGGTTCTCTGGAAGCCACAGACATGCCATTCGGAGCCTCTGGGATCTAGGCTTCGTCAGAACTGACTCACTGTTTCTATGAAAGAGTAGTGCTGGGGGTGTTTACAAGCCATCAGGGTGAACCGCTCTCGGGAGTCTGAGGGGCTGGAAGGCTCGTGTAGGACTCTGCGCAGATGGAGAGTCGAATTGACCCGAGCAAAAAATCAACCCAGCCAAACCCGAAATTACCCTAATCAGTCCCAAGCCGTCAGAGGGACCGGTCCAATCTGCGCAAGGCTAGGGAGGTGGCGGTGTCCAAGTGCAAGGAGAAGGCCTCAGCACCACCCGCGTGTAAGTCCAGAGACCTGATCTCCTGCCCGGAGCCCAAGAAGCCTTGGGATTTGGGGGAATGGGCTGCTTGGGACTTCTTATACCGTCGTGCGGCCCACTTGTCTGAGTGCCGCTGCAACACTTACCTCTAACAGAACCGACAACTGAGCTCTCCCGCCAGGTCGTCCAACTGGGACAGCGTGTCAAGCACAGGACCTGCCCAACACATCCGCTGCAGCTGATGTTGTTGCCATGCAGTAGTAGAGCTCCTAGAAAGCAGGCAGGATCGCTCCAAGCCAGGTCTGTGGCTTGATTTTTTCAGATCCAGATGCGTGCCTGGGTCACAGAGGCCGCTCGTTTCGATGACGATCAGGTCCTTGTGGTCTTGGGGATTTTGGCATGTACTTTGAGGGCCGGGTCACGGCTCACCCTCATCGGTGCGGAGGCTGGGTTTGGAAGTCTAGAAAATCCCCGGCCTTGCGGGACAGGAAATGGGGGTGCCAACCCTAAATGCTAAGATGCCAGCCAGCTGTTCGACTTGATCCGCACGTGCCTTACGCTGCTCACGTGATGTGTCGCGTGCGGCTTGCCCACATTGCCCACTTGCCTAATCGCCCAAGATTCCAATGGAGGGAATTCAAGTGCGGGCATCCACAGCATACAGGTTTAAGCCACCGGGATGCCATGCGCAAGATGATCTAATGTGGCAAAACATAAGGCAAAACTGTTTCCATCAACCTTCGGTCGCCTCCTAATCGTAGTAAGGACGCCCTGTATTCATGAGAAGTCGTGGAGTGGTTCCAGGTCGCCTTCAGCAAGCTTCGCAGCTGTCGCCGCAAGTCCGCGTTCACCTGCGTTGCACAGGGTCGAGACTAAACCTTCAGGTGAGACATCGCCGGGTCGAAGGAGTCTTCTTCGAGCTTGTCACAAAGACCTCAGCCCTTCTTCTTCTTCTTGATCACGCTCTTGCTTTTGTTGTCGTATTGTAGTCTGTGTTGCGGCCTATTGTTTCCAGTGCTTTTGTCATCTGCAAGAACTCGGCCGAGGATAAGGATAAGGGCTCGGGTGCATTGCGACCATCGTTGTATGCTCAGCCCAATGGAACCGTCCCGGACGAGGCGGGAAGCAAGCGCCTGGCCCCCAATGAAACCAACCCTAAGCCAGCTAAACCAGCGACGCAGGCTGCCCGAAATCAGACTTCGTGCCTCGCAGCACATGCAGCCGTTGTCCAAGGTGACCACCCTGCATGGCTGAATGGAAGTCGCGGCAGAGAGCTTTCGGTCAAGGTTCTGCCTCGTTTTGGCTTGGCTATGCCCCCAACGTGTGGTGTTGTGCCCTGAGAAAACTGAAGCATCAAGTAGGCAATGCACCTCCTGATTAGCAACCTTCAGCCGCCTAAGACTTCGACTGCATGGCAGTGCAGAAGTCTTCTGTTAGGCGCATGCCGAAGCCTCTGCTCGTCGACGTGCCCTTGCCATCGAATCAAGTCACCGTCAATGTCCACGGCGCCAAACTCGTTAACAAATACTGCCACGCGGGCGCCTCAGGATTGTGCAATCGTGCTCGTTCAGATGCCCAGGCTTGGACGGAAGCCTTATACAACAGTTTGATGCCCTAAGAAGGTGGGATTCCCCCAACCTTGTCGATTTTGGAGGATGCGGTTCAGAAGGGTGGTCTTGCCGGCGCCCAAGAAGCCAGTGAGGATGGACACCTTGGGGTTTCGCGCTTCGATTCGGTTCTGGTTCCAAGTCGACGGGGAGCTGACAATGTTCTTTCGGTGGTGTCACGACAGTGGAGCAAACAGCAAAGCACTTGTGCACTTCAACCCCCAGACACCTCAGAAAAGAAACAGCACAACCTTGTTTAACGTCTCAATCAACCGTAGGCGATGAAGCTGATCCTTAGAACTCCAGGCCCTGATCGCCCAGCAGTTTGAAACCCAAATAGGATACGAAAGACCCCAAACTCCCTAAACCCTCGACTTGAAGCGAAGGGACAGGAAGGCCAGGTCGGGCCATGTCTCCATCGCTCATGGGAGTGACTCTGTGTGTGTCTGTGTGTGCGCTGGGGCTGTTGGCACTTTGGGTGACTCAGCTTCGGCAGGTCGGGGCCTTGGGATCTCGGGAGTCGGGCTTGGCTTCGTTGGGCGGAGGCTGAAACTCTTCCGGTTGAATTTCTTAGCTTCTGCCCCAGTCAGGCTACAGAAACATTGGGGACGTCAACTCTAGTCCTCTGGCAGGAGTTTGTCTGTGAACGGCGGCCTGAAACTCAGAACCCAAGATCGCACAGGTCTGCTGCTGTCATCGACAGAGCGCTCTCAGTCAGTCCTCAACAGAGCCTCGATTTCAGCGAGGTTTTTGCCGATTGCGCATGGTCCCCGATGTTCAGAGAAACTCGCGGAAACGGCGTCGCCTGCAGAGGCAGTGAGAAATTGCGCGATTGCATCTTACAGAAATTCTTCAAACAAGTCGGTCGGCACGCCTTCTGAACAACGGCCAAAGCAAGGGAGCTGCAACGGCAAGGCTCCTCTCAGGGAGATGCATCCAGGTTCGAGCACAGCACTGAGTGCCCTTGATTACTTATGAACTCGCAAACTCGCCTTCACACTCGCCTTCACCACCCTCGTGCTTCCCTTGCCTTCTCCCTCCCCCCCTCACCCAGGCTGAGGGCTGTGCTCATCCATCGCCCCCTCTGATGAAGGACCTTCCTGGTGGTGGGGGCGGATGCTCGGGGCTTGAGGGGCCCTTGTGGAATCGTTGCGCTTTGAGGCGACTCTTGGCCTGAATGTTGTGGGGCCTTACAAGATTACGTGCCGGCTTCTGCGTCTTTTCATGTCCGCGATGCCCGCACCAAAGCCCTCTTTGCCTTTGTTCAGAACCCTGAATCCGGGCCTTGTCCCAGGGCTGCTGCATGGCCGGTCCACCAAACTTGTCCTCCGTTCAGCGGGGACAGCCGAGGACTTCTGGATACTTTTGTCCAGGGACGTCCTGGCTTCCGTGCTCACCAGTCGAGGGTGCCCTGAGGGCCAGTACCGTCCCATACCCTGCCCCACAAAAACTTAGTGTTCCCCGATGTCTCCTGACCTGAAAGCCTCACTCCTTCGCTGCGGCAGCCCTCAGCCTCCAACTCAGCACAGAACTGGCAACCCGAAACCCGAAAAAAAAACCGAAGCCGCCTAAGCCAGATTGAGCTTCAAAAGCAAGGCCACGTCTCCCCCCCCCATAAGAGAAATCTCGGAAGGTTCATTCCCCAGTCGTCGGTCCCTGGCTCCCGGAGGAGGTGGCTCCTCCTGAACACTTGCGGAAGGGGTGGCATCCTACCCAATAGGCGAGGAAAGAAAGGGAGGAGGGCCGAAGGTTTAGCAGCTTTAGCTACTCATTTCGGGAATTTCATCGGTGTCGAGGTTCTCAGTGGATTCAGGGTGGTTCCAGATCAGCGTTTCGAATCTGGCATTGACCCCAAGGTTGGATGCTGGGAGAAAAGGGATCAACGGCAGTGACAACGTGTGCAAACTCCGCTTCCTCCTCGTCATCTTCGTCAGGAGCGTCGTCGAGATCATCCTCCTCCGACTTGTCAGCCGGACCTGCTCAATCATCCCTTGCTCACGCTTCATCTGCCCCGGAGCTCCAGGCTCGAGGCTGCTATGGCTGCAAGCTCAAGAACCCAAGGAGGCTCTTCTTCCGAAACATTGTGAAACTTGGGATTCGGGATACTTGGCTACGGCTCTTGTGCAAGGACATGCCCAGCAACAGCCGAACCTTCCAAAGAGTGCGTTCTGTCCGAAAACCACAGGGCTCCGAGTGGGGCAACGCGAAGTGCGCCCCACTCAGACATCCAGCATTTAACCGAATGTAACCACCACATGCTTCTTGAAAGAAGAGGTCCTCCTTTCACAACACTCAAAGAAGCGCTGCCTCCATTGAAGGAGGTGACAAGTCCCTGGCCAGAGCTGAGAACTCGTCTAAGCCAAAGTCAATACCCAACAGGACTCCGCACAGCCGACAGGGCCGATAGGGTCCCTTACAGACATCAGCTGAAGTTACGGGTGTGCGTTGGAGTTCATTCATCGCTCATAGCCAAGGCAGAGAGCTTTTAAGCGGAGCCACAAGCGCCTCGGGAGGGGGATCACGGCCTAAGTGGCTGAATGCTTGAGGGTCTGTTCTGTTCAAAGAACCTTGCTCTGAGTGGGGCCTGACATGCACCATGTCCTATATCCCGCACGATATGAGCATCCATGTTTACCCAATGGCTCAAGCATCCGTGCCCGCACGATAGGAACGTCCCTGTCACCGGAGCAGTGGCCAGAGCATGCCCCGCTGAATTAAACGAGGCATCCCTGCAGAGCATGCCCATACGACAAGAGCTCCTTTACTAGTGCATCCCATGTCTGGGCACGCCTCCATGCATATACCAGTGCATCTGCCGCGTTTGCCACGTGTCACTCACCGCGTCCACCGCATCCCTCGCCGCATCCCTCGCGTCTCGTCTCCCCCGACCAGCGCGTCTCCCCGCGTCCCTCCCCATCCCGCGCGTCTTCCGTGTCCCGGGCGGCAAGGGGACCTCTACCCGGGAGTTTCCTCTCTGAGATTTCGCAGATCTCGGGTTTCGGTCTTTCGCAATACTTGCACAGTGTCTATGTCTTGTGCTGGTCCTTACCATGTGTCCCGAATATTTGCGGGGGCTCTTGGCTTCAGCGCATTGGGGCAAAAGTCTTGGCCTCGGCTTCAGATTCCGAAGAAGCTGCACCACTGGAAGTGAAGATGCCAAAGCCACGCTGAGTATAGACGGCCTCCAAATCCGAATATGTAAAGTTGCACTCCCTTCTTCCTGAATTAACCTTCAATCCTAAAGCCAAAAGCCAACAACCCAGCCAAAAACATGCCCAGAGCTTTGAAGTCCGACACTGCCTGTCCGAGCTTCTGGAACTTTGCCAGCTTGAACAGGTCCGAGTCTGAGCCTCTGGCGATCCGAGTGCCAACCGTCAGAGAGCCCTGAGACAAGAACCCTCCAGCAGCCTCCCAAGCCTCAGCTGGACTTGTCGGGTTCGATGGCTCTACAGTACTTGCAACTTGACCAAGCCCTGGCCCTTGAAAGAGCCATGAAGAGGGGGTTGGAGACAGCTACGAAGCCTGCAGAAGTCGTGTTGACTTACAACACACGGCGTCTTTCTCCTCGCTGGAGATGCGAGTCTAGGAATTCAGCTGCTGAAAAAGAAAAAGAGCGTGTTTCGCTGTGCGCAGTGGTCAGGGAGAAGGTGGTCCCCCGAACGCCAACGACTGCATTTCACTTATCCGACAACTGCAAACTTCGTGCGCCTGGAACATGTGGAAGCCTGTGTTTCGTAAAACAAGCAGATTTTACAAACAGTGTGCCCTGATTTTTTCGAGCGATGTGCCTTGACGCAGCCCGAGTTCGTGGGACCTTCCCCCTATGATGGCGACTGAAAGCTAGGGCGGCTAGAAGCTAAAGTTGCTAAAGGCTTTTGCAAGTGGCTGGAGACTCCCTGATCGGTGAATCTCCGAGCGTTGGGTCACTTGGCAGAAGCCGCTCAGGACACTGAGATCGTGTTCCTTCCCTAGTGTTTAGAGGTGGGGGTGGGAAACTCCTAAGGGATTCAGAGCCTAACCCGAAAATTCTGGACGTCTTCTGTGCTTCTTGATGGAATGCTGGCTCTTGCTTGGAGCTTATCGGGAAAGCATACACTTTCGGGACACACTCATACTGATACTTGCGCAATGCACCTATGACGCGTAAAAAGGGGGGCTGCAGGATCGAGGGGCCAAGCAGAGAATGACTACACCCTCCGGCCTGAAAGCCCCCGGGTTCTTTAAGGCATATGAGCTCATATGAGCTCTAGTCGCTGAACGTCTGGAGTTCCAAAGAGGTGTGCTATACTCGCGTGTCAGAATGCTAGTTTTTAGGACTTCGGGACCCATAGGCGCACTGAAGGCTTAAGGACGGTTCAAGGGGTTTCAGGCATTGGCTCCCGATCTCCTGGTCCTGCTGTATCCGGAGCTGAAACTCTACGAAGCTGCCAAATCCCAGAGAAGGTGTTATAGGTGTGCTGGACCTTTCTGGTTCTTTGAAACTATGTTTCGCACTGCCCCCGGCACCCTGGTCTTATCACTGTGGGATCTTCGGGTCACAAGGTGGAAAATGCCCGAAAACAAGCCAGATCGTCAGAAGCCAACATCAACCTGCTCCCAGAACCAATGAACTGGAGTTAGGGGAGTTCAGCCGCAAGGCTCTGATTGACTTCCAAGTTCTCTGGGTGTGGCGGGGTGTCCGGACCATTGGGTGCATTTCTGGTAAGACGAAATGCACCTATTCCAAGCCTGTTCTAGCTTGTTCCGATGTCTCAAGCATCGAATTATGCGAAAAGAACGTTGTGTCTCACGGATTCATATCTAGATAGCAAGAGGTAAGAGCCTTGGCAGCACGACAGCACACACTGACTCCATCAGAAGATACCATCCCCCTTTGCGAACTGAAACTTATTCAGAACAGGCGTGCGTGTCGCCATGGTCATTTGGTTCCTGCTGATTGAACCAAGTGGGCTCGTTGATCAGCTGGCCTCCAGCCTTTTAAGTGTAGCGCTGGCACATTCCCTGCAGGCAGACGCCTTGGCCGTGATTTGTACCTAGGCCCAAGTCACACATCCCCAAGCCTCGTCTCCCTAAACTCCCTAAAGCATTGTAGAACACTTCAGGTTTTCGTAAAGGGCCACAGGCGAGTGGCGAGTGCTTCTGCCTGGAATGCTGCAGGACAGCAAAAGTCTTCTTTGCTGCGCGCAGTGGCAAGCGAGTGCGCTCGTTGATGAGCTAGCCTCCGGCCTTTGAAGGGTAGATACCGCGCATTCCTTGCAGGCAGATGCCTTGCCCTAGACAGCCTTGGCTGTGTGTACCTGCTCTAGTCTCGCAGCTTTAAGCGGATTGCCTTTTCGTTCTCTGAGTAGAACAGAACAGAAGCTGCCCAAGGGCAGCAGTTCGGGCTGTTTGGTTTCTGCCTGGAACGCTGCAGGGAACGGGTCGTAACAGAAAAAGTGGCAAACCATCTCCTTCTCTCGGCGCTGTAAGGCCGTGACCCTGGTAAAGGAGTTTGGTTTGCTGGTGCAGCCCCTGGCCGAGTATGTTACGTGATCGACACCTGAGAGAAACTTTGAAGCTTAACACAGATGATGCTTGTAGAAGTCAACGAAGCCTTTAAGCACCCTCTCTCAACCAAGCCTTTCAGCTGCAGACGTTTCCCTGGAGCCCGGAGTAATCGATCGCTGTTTCTCCAATCCATTGTGTGAAGCAGAGGAAGGGGGGTTGAGGTTTCAAGGTCCCAGGCTTTATTTGTTCTGCGTTTCTCTTGTCGCTTGTCTCTCTCTAGATCGCAAGACCACTTGTAAATGCACCAAAATCGATGAGCAAGCCTTCCGCCCCATTCTCCCCCCCCCCCCCCCCCCCTGCAAAGAAGGTGTGCGCACGGCCCGGGTGGTTGTGTCATGACTGTACTGCCTCGTACTGTACGCTCAACCTGCCTCGACTCCAGTCTCACTCGGACCTGTAAGGGGCGTTTCCGCATCCTTTGAAGCCTCAGAAGAGTCCCTGAGGCCAGGCAGGGGTGCAACGATCATCGGACTAATACCCCAAGGCTCCCCAGCGACCCCAAGCGGGGTTTCGATGAGGAGTTGAGGTTGTTCAGGCTTGTGCCTGGGCAACTTAGGAGTGTGGGGCCCGTTTGGGGCCCATCACACCCCTGTTTCGTGCTTTGTACACAACTGTGCTCACCCGAACTTCTTCGGATTCAAGTCGCGGAGATTACGTAGAGCTAGAAGCTCGGAGCTAGGCAGGATTCTTCGAGACAAGAGCAGTTAAGTCACAGGAAAGAGGATCCAACACTAACAGCAGGCACAATACGCACGCTGTGGGTGCTTTGCTCTGAGTCATCGGAGGAATATCCATCATCGGAATATATCCCCCAGACCTTCCTTCGGAACTCTCTCTCGGATACAACACGAATGCTTACATCCACATCGACGATCTCCTCATCGGAGGAATATCCACCCTCGGTAGAGCTGTCCTGGGTTGAGGAGGGGAGCATTTGGGGGGGCACCAGGGATATCGTCTGAGGGTGGCCGCTGCAGAATAGCAAACCAAAACCCCCAGAAGCCCCAAGCCCGCCTCCATCCAAGTGGTCGGCAGCGCCGGGTAGGCCGGCTCCTGGCGGCTTGGGGGGTTAGGGTTGAGGGTTCAGGGCCTAGGGCTTAGGGGCATCGGGGAGGATTAAACGGTTTTGGGGTTTAGTGGTTTGGGCGCTTAGGGTTTGGGGGGTGGGGGTGGGGGATTATGGGGCTCAGGGCTCGGGGGGCTTATGGGGCTTGCAGAGTTTTTCAGGCTTGTTCTATAGGCTTTTTTTGGAGGCTCTTGGAGGCCCACTTGCCCAATGTTGCCTCTGTTCTGGAACCTTAGTCACCCTGTTTCCTTGTATGCAGTTAGCACTGTGAGGCATAGAAAAACTTAAAACGCTGAAGAGGGGGTTTACGTACCCCTTGTTCCTGAAGTGGCGCAGGAGATGGTTTAGAAGTGCGGCCTGTGGAAGTGAAGTGTCTAAAGCTCGACAAGAAGCAGCACCCCGTAACATCCCGACCCGAGTAACGCAATGGCCTGCAGCCCGTTGGTGTGGGAAATGTCCTCAACGTCCTGTTCATCAGAAAGCACGCACGTGCGCGTGCGCGTGCACACACGCACGTGCACACGCACGCACGCACACCCATGCATGCACGCACCCACCCTCATGCTCACCCTCACAAACTCTTGTGCCAAAAACCAGACGTTCTACAGCAGCTGCAGGCGTGCACAAACAACTGAAAGACAAACTTTGACGGCAATGCGGCCCCAACGGCTCTCAAGACTCTTTTGAGAGCTCCTTGTTTTCCAGGGGTCTGCGGTACGTGGCTGCGCAGCAATTCCTCCAAAGCTCTTTGGAGAGGGGGAAGAGCATCCCTAACTTCTGTAAATGCCAGAGTATTTGTGCTCCTTTGTGGATCGGCGCAGCAAATGTGCGAGATTCTCGTAGCCGCATCTTGCATGAAGCCTTTGAACATGGCGCATCCGTCATAGATGGCCATCGCCAAGTTACCTCCGAAGGTTTTTTTTGCGGCTGGGGACCTAGGGGGACGCGGGGCCCAGCAGAACTTGGCATGGGAATGGTTGCTTTGCAGCACAAAGTCTCCAAGGGTTCAAGTGCAATCCCCGGTGGTCAAGCGCTGCTACCTTGCGCCTCAGACGCCTGACAAGGCCTCTGATGACCTACTGTGCTACTTTGACTTGAACTTGCGTGAGCCTTCACTTGCGCTGGACTTTGCTGGATCACGGAGCTTCTCGTCGGAGGACCGGTCAGAGGCATACCTTGACACCCAAGCTTGCCTTCCCAAGCATCAAGGTTGGGGCTGGGGTGGCTGTGCGCGCGCACCCAGCACTCAAAAGACATCGGGCCCGAGGCCGACAACTCGTATTCAAACCTGAGCTCAGTGACTTCTCTGACGACGAGCAGGCGGCAAGGCCATCGGAAGCCTGGCTGCAAGACCGCCGGGGATGGTTCTTTGGATGTTGAAGGAGTTTAGAAGTAGGGTCAAGGGAAACTGCGGAGGATAAACTTTGGAACTGTTTCGGGTCGATTGCTATCCAGAAGTGCCCAGAAAGGTACTCGCTAAGTTCTGCGCCTGGTGTTTCGGGCGTCGTGGGTGCGGGCTCTTACAGACTGGCCACTCTCGAAATCACGGGGGCCCATGAGCAAGAAGACCCTGAACCATAAACACAACTGATGGGAGCACTCCAATCCACAAACCCTAACAGAACCAAAGCAGAATGGGAGAAGTGCTTGGAGGCACAGATGCCGTTGTGCTGCCCTCGTCTATCCACTCCACTTCTGACCTGAGGCTGCTTTTCTCCCAATGACATTTGCAGTTACCCAAACCCCTAAACCAGTTAAAAGCCCGAAGATTTTGAGCCCCCAAACCCAAGCAAGTGTGCAACGTCTGATTAGACCCCAAACGTATTTCCAAAGCTTGTGAGATCTGAGAGATACCCAAGCATTCTGGTGCTCGCTGTGATTTCGGGGGGCAAGACGTAGTTGTGAGGGTGGTTGAGGGTCCGCTCTGTTGAAGGGTGTTTGCCCCATCCCCTTTTGCAGCCGCGATGCTCTTTAGTGTCCTCCAACATGGGGAAGCTCAATCCTCGGGTCCATGGGATTTGGGTGGGATTGAAGTCTTTGAGGCGCTTATGTGACAACCCGTCAAGGACCAGCTTCCAACATCTTCTTGAAGATTTCCGGTCCTGTTTTTCAAAGGACAAGCCTGCTGCGAAAGCGGACGTCTCTGAGCCCCTGTTTAGCCCAGGAACCGTCGCCAACCGGGCCACCAACCGGGATCAGCCAGAGCAATGGATTGCTGCCAAGTACTGATGCCAGGTTGTGGTACAATCCCATGTCGTACCTCCCGACAGGTGGGGTCACAGGAACGACAAAACGGGGAAAACACACACCAACAAAACCAACAAAACCAACACCCTTCACTCGAAACCCTCTCGATTCTTCTCTCTGCTCCAAGGCACCGGTGCCGCATGTGCAAGCCAACCTGGTCCGTCGCAAAGCGCTGTTGCTGCTGCTGCTCGCAGAACTCAATGGTGGTCCTAGGTTTTGGCTCGAAAACTCCAGGAAGAGACTTGACTATTCAGCGTTGCGGGGCCTGACTAGGGTTGCTCAGGAGGCTGTTCCGCTCTGTTCGGAAACCCTGACACCCTGTCGTGGGGCGGTTTGCAGATTCGTGAAGTCCGATCCCATTCGGCAAGCCTCAAACGAAACTTATTGTTGCTAACCGCCGCTCCAGGTGCATGTTGTTGCAAAGGAGCCAGCAATGGAAGGTCGTGAAAGGGATGAGGATACCTTGCTCTCATGATGTTGGGAAGGCACGAGACTGATCTCCACACTCCCACAGCCCCCTCGCAACACTCCTGTGACACCACAATGCTCAGACAGCAAGAAACTAATTGTTACTAAAAGCTCAGTCCCACAGACTTCTTGATTGCTTATGCTTGGCCCAGATGCTCGAGAGCAGGGTGCCGATGGCCCCGGCCTGCCAGCTTGTGAGAAGAACATAGTGACAGAGGGGATGTCTCTGAAGAGCGCTTTTCTGTCTTGTCGCTCTACAAACCCTTGCGGTGCTAAGCTCAGAACCCACCTCCTCCAAATTCTGTGGGACCTAAACCCTCAACCCTTTACCAATACCAATGTACTCTAACATCTTTTACCAGCCTCTAGGGAGACGAAGCTTAAAGCACTTCAATCAGCTTGGAAGCCGAGATCTGGGCTTGAGACCGAACGCCCCAAAAGGCTGAGAAGCCTCAACGAGTACCAGCACCGTGGCCGGCGGCAAACTCGCAGAGGCCAGCAGCTGTACCTCTCGGAATCATATGGCTCTGAGAGGTCTTATCTGCCAGAATCTCAAGGCCTCTGATAGTCAAGCAAATTTCCCAACGATGGAGTACGAGCTGGGCAAAGGCCTTTGCATGTGGATTGATGTTGTAGCTTGGCGTCTCGGGTAAACGCTTTGGGGCGAAGCCTTGAGGGACATGGTAGCGTGATACGGGCCATAAGGAAACCCCATATTTTTGGCACCCATGGTGATCTTCGGCCAAAGGGTCATGCGGCCTGGAAGAAATGTGCATTGGGCCAACCACTGAAACGCAATATGCTCTGAGCCCGGGGAGTTTAGAGGGAGTCGCCTAAAAATCTCGGGGGCCTCACTCCAGAGGGCTGGCAGCCACAGTGCAAGATCAAGGCAGAACACAAACCACCATATTGCACGAACCCTTGTGAAAAGGCACATGCGCTAAGTCACGAAGCATGCAGCATGTATTTTATGAGCAAATCGCGGGCGAATTTCCGCGGCATAATCGTGAAAGGCGTCAACCAGAGGCCTCCCGGCACTTCTTGGGGCATGAGTTCTAGAGGGAGTGAACCCAACTAAACCCCATCCTGAACCCCCCTGAAGACCAAGCCCTGGATGCGCGGCACCGTTTTGATGGTGCCAAGTAGACAGGCAGAACTTGCGTATGCCAGAAACCTGGGCTCTTCAGGGCTCTTCATTTCACTGTGCAAATCTTGTAGGCTATTGAGGTGTTCTCGTGTTTATGGGGTGCTAAAGCCTCCTTTCTGATTGCTTGTGCTCAGAATGAGGCAGGACGTCTGTCAAAACACGGCCGAGCTCTCTTGTTTCCGGCATCCTTTTCCGGTTTCAAGAAAAACCCCGCAAAGATGGAAGAAGAGAGGCACATCAACCACGCAAACCACGCCCAGGAGCTGAAGGAAGAACTTGTGGTTGGCATGCCCGACCGTATTGTTCAGCCATGGGCAGAAGTGGTCCATCCGCAGGACACACCTCAAGCCAAAGTGGCCAGGGCGGACCATGCTGATTGTGCAATGTGGTGCATTGTGTCAACCCCTTGTTGCAATACCAGACCACAACCCTGCACCCAAACTATTTTGGAGGTTACTTCTTTTTCGGGCTGCCCGCTTCTTCGGGATGCTGTTCCGTGAGACCAAGATTCCCCCCCCTCCCCCCCCTCCAGTCCGCAATATCGCAATGCAATAAGCTCGGAAGTGCTGAGACCTCTAAGCCTTGTGCCTCTCCGTCGCGCTGCAATAGTGCGAGCGGTCAGGCTTATAGGCCTCGGATTTTCGGCACCAGCGAGCCTGCCGAGCAGACAAAGGTGGGATTTCGCTGCAGTCTTGGGGACTTGAGATCATTTTTTGATGGAGCCTGACCAATGCGCACTTCCGATTTCAGGTCCCCAAAAAAGGCCGAAAGCTCGGCGCCTCGCCTCGCCCGACCTCTTGCGGTCCTTCAAGCGCGCTGGCGGGAGCCCGAACGTGCGCCACATGGGGGAGTCCGGAATGGTGCCAGGGTCTGTCACCTCTGCTTTGGTTGGGGCTTGAGGCTGTGCAGGGTTCAGGCTTGAGGATCGTGTGGAGGGAAGCGGTGGGACTCGCATCATGGCCTCACTCTACACATGCGGCCCCCCCCCGCCCTTCATTGTAAACCGCCGAACGAACAAAACCAGACCGAGGCGAAGCACCGCAGCTTTGTAGTAGCTTGCAAGCACCATGGCCTGAGCGGGCAGGGTCCGGGCTTTCAATCCCCTCCCGAAATCCTCAATCCACTTAGTGTGAAGGTCCATTGTAGGCAAAAGCAAGGTGAGACTGTCAATGACGACCACCGCTACTTCTACTGCTGCTAGCTAGTGCGCTACTTCACGACTTCATCCTTTGTTTGTTGATGCTCCTTGCCTGGTGGGGTTGTTGAAGTAAAATAGGATCTGGCGACCCTGAACATTGGCATGTTTGGTGTGATATGGGTGTGGGGTCTGATGCGCAGCGACCTCATCTCATGCTCACGAGCGGCAATCATCGCATGGAATGCCAGGCTCACTGGGCTTGCAAGCGACAAACCCGCGGAAGGTAGATAGACAAAGACAAACCTGGGCTGTTCTTGCGAAGCCCCCTGGCCCCACATGGGTGTTCGAGGCAGTGATGCCGGTACTTTCCTTGAAAAAAACACTGTTTTCTACTGATGCCCAAGGAACGAGGAGTACAGAATACTTATGATCCAGGCGATGAAGGCTGGCGGCATGAAGTCCACGAGCCGCGTGGGGGTGGCCTTCTGAAAGCTTGGCGTTGGGGGAAGGGAGGGGGGGCCCAAAAATCTCGAGGCCTGGAGCAAGCAAAACTACGGCCACCCCTACAATTTCATCATGCTGCTCTGCAGCAGGAGCAAAAAAACCCTGCCTCCGTGTCTTCGTGGCCAGATTGCCGCTCTGCTCTTTTGGTAGTGAACTCGCAAATGAGCTGGTGCAGAGACTGGAGTGTCCAGCAACCAAAATACCTGAGGCTTAGGAGATTGCAGCTTGCAGCCGAGGTTTTGGTTTCGCCTGATTACATTACCGAGCCGGCCAGCTGCAGAAAGGAACCAACTCGTTGCAAGGCTCAGATACTGGGAGACACTGATTGCGATGGGCAGATGAGTCTCCATTGTCCTCAGTGCAGGGGCTTGGACTGTGCTTATTGGCCTCCGGTAGTGTCAACAACCCCAAGCCGGTCACCCAGCAGAATCTAGCAATCTACTTTGTACCAAAAGCTATCCTCTTGTGCCCAAGCGTCACGCATCTCATGATGTAGTCGGTCACCTCAGCCAAGTCGCGGGCTACCTCCCGTGCTTGCTCGGCAGCTTTTCCACACAGAAGGGCCAGCCAGTCATTTCCTTTTGATTCTGTAGGCCCTGCAGGCTTGGAGAGGACCGGCGCCATCCACAGCTCTCCAAGCTGAACAAGAACAAGACTAGATTTCAAACAAAGCGCCCTGTCTACTTCTCCGGTCCCAAATATGGCCACGGCCAGGGAAGCTTTCACGTGTCAAGCTCCTCTCACGGACATTGCAGGGTCTAGGCTTTTGCACCATGCGACTGTCCGACTATTCTCAGACCTCGGAGTAGGGGGGAACGATCGCGTGTAGAGCAAGAGGCTACAGGCAGAAAATCCGCCTAGGGAAAGCACAGAAGAGGAGGCTGCATGGATTCAGCAGGCAGGTATGGGTAGAATGGGGAGATTTCTTGCACGAAACGGGGTCTTGAGACCTGTCTTGCATTTCTGATGCTACAGGTTGTAAGTTGTAAGGCTTTGTAAGGCGCTGCATGAGTTGAAACATGTTGAAACATAGCAGATCCCAAGCTGCAGGTGCGAAACCTGGGAGCCGCGCCCAAAGAGCCTTCACTGGGCTCCCGCTGCGAGTGCAGTCGAAGCCTGAGCCCGAGCACCCTCCCCCCTTCCCTACTCACGCTCCCCCCTCTGTGTTTCGGTACCCTTAGAGCCTTAGAGTGCTCGAAACCTAAGGCCCACAAACTATGATGGATCTGAGATTTCAAGCTGGCCGAGGCCGCCTACCACACGGAGGAGGGAGTACTAATACTATTGACTTATCTCTCTTGGGGCGGATGACGCATCCTCTGCACCTTCTTTGAACTTGGGATGTGGAGTTTTGAGTTTTAGGTTTAGGGTATCTCAGCCCAGAAATCGGCCGGACAGCCCGAACACAAAGTAAACTTCTCAGAACCAACAGGAACGTTCCAGATTCGAAATGCTTTAGATTCCTTCGAGGCATGGTCGGTGTCTATGCCCCCCTTTGAACCGCAACGTGCTGTTACAGAAAACAAAGTTTCTAAGGCAGCCGTAGGGCCCCTAAAGATGCGGACTCCGCTCTCTACGCCGCCAAGACCCAGACCGTGGCGAGCCGGTTGGGCCAAGCCAGGCCAAGATCAAACTGCAAAGATGCTGTGCTCAGACGCTTGCTCTCTAATCCTTGTCCACTTGCTGGTGCCAACTCAGAGCAGCCAAAGATCAGAGGCTTAACAAGGGAGGTCGTGCCCGCTCGCGCAAGTTCATGTCAATACGACCTCTTTCGTCTATGGGGCATCTACTGCATTGACGTCCAGGCTTGGTTTTTACGAGCTCCTCCCTCCTTCCTCCAATTCTTGGTTGTGAAGTTCATAGCAGCCTTGCCCCTTCGTGTCAATGGCGCTCTCTGAGAACCCTGACGAAAGGTGTCTGAACAACAGCCCCTGAGTGTGTGTGTGTGTGTGTGTGTGTGTGTGCGCGTGCGTGCGAGCTCTCAACAAGTCAAGCTGGCAGGGAAAGCATCTCTGCTGGCCTGGACCAGCTCATCCTGCGCGTGCGAGAGTGCGTCATGGACAGACTCAAGACTCTTCGCGTTAATGCAGAGCCATAGTTTCTGTCCCGTGTGTCCCTGCCCGAGCACTTGATCGGCCATTCAGTTGCGGAGGTAACGTTTAGGGGTTCCAGTTTTTGGTTCAGGTGCCTGCGTGCAGGGTTGAGAGTCTTTAAAAGCCGTGCCGCATTTGGGCGGATTGCGTTTCGTGCAAGCCCCCCAAGAAACCCTCTAGGGACCACGCTCATAGCTGTATGCAGTTCTTGTGTAGACTCTTAACCTGGTAGCCTCAACACTCTGAATCTCTGACGCACGCCCTGCGAAAGCGCTCCGGGCAAGCATCGTGCTGGAGGCCAAGTTCACGGGCAGCTGGATGGGAGGCCCTCTCCAGGATGGGAAGTTTGTGCAAGTAGGTTGTAGGGCTTAAGCTTCTCAAACCTGCCTAGACACCCGCACAAAACCGCACCATGACGCAAGAGAGAGAGAGAGAGAGAGAGAGAGAGAGAGAGAGAAAGAGAGAGAGAGCTCTGTCAAGCACCGCGATGGGGTCGCGAGAGAAGCTGAAGATCTTCTCCGAAACCCCACCGCCAAAACCTGCCTCACCTCCCAACACCCCAATGGCCCAGGCCCTGGCCTCCCCACTTGTCCGTGGCACCCTTGGGTGGCCAGCCAACCACTCGATTGCGGCCCTGGCAGAGTGGCAGCGGAACATTTGGGGTTCAAATGGGTTTAATGCCTCGAGTTCGGAGGGTTGACGGGTTCAGGCTTGTCGGGATGCCTTCGGTGCAGATATTCGCACGTGTTCAGTAGACATCGGTGAGCTCCCCGTTTACCTCTGAGCTGAATATCCGAGCCCCCTGAGCTCGGTTCACAACGGAACCAGCAGCCCAAGGTTCCATCTGCTTTCTTCGACTCTTTGGTGATCCGAGCTCCCAGAGGGAACGAAGCTCTGGAAAATGCCCAGCAAAACCCAGTCCCACTCCCTCTTGAAAGCTCTGATGGGCGGGCGATGAACTCGGTCTCCGTGAGGAAAATCGGCCGGGGCAGAAAGGCGTTGGGGTCATTTGCCTGCCACCCCCCCCTCCTCCCGAACTGGCCAAAGATGGGTTGCCTCAAAAACAGTTGGTTCGATTCTCAGAGGTTCCGAGGCCCGCGGCCGGGTCGTCTGTGTCCAGGTTCGCGATGTCCTGCCGTCTTAGGAGCAATAGCTAGTAGCAGCTAAGAGTCGGCTAGGAGTCTGAGGTTGTTGAGACATGATGTTCTGCGTCAGAACTGCTTGGCTGCCAAAGTGCTCTGGAGTTTGAGAAGCACGAATCACCTCCGGTCAGTTCCTCGAAGCTGCGGCCGGTTCGTGCCGCCTCCATGGCCACCAGCTCAACGGCCCTCGGGACATGAAGGGGGGGCTTTGGAAGAACTGTCAAGGACTGCCTGGCCTCCTGGTTGCGGTGGCATCGCTCAGGTTTGCGGCCGAAGCGGATTGCTTAGCGGTGATACCAGAAGCTTAGAAGAGCCGATCGTCCGAAAATTCCCAGCACATCCAACACTGCCAGCACCTGCAAAGACCAAGCTCAGGCAAGGTTCCTCTCGTCTGCTTCCTTGGAAGCATCAGCATCCAGCCACTCCTCACGCCATTGATTCATGGTGCGGGAGGGCTTCTGTGGGTACAAGGCTGCAGCATGTTTGTGGCCGCTCGCTTGAGGAAAGCTTCGAAAAGGGCGGCTTCACGTAATTTTAGGGTTGACTTGGACAGCGGACAGCGGGAGAATATTGTTAAGCTTTAGGGTTGAGGTGTCGGCCTTGAGTGCGGCAACCGGTCGCGCGACCGTCGGAAACCGCAACACATGAAGTCTGCGCCCAAAGCAAGCCCCTGGAGCCTAATCCGAGCACACCCAGCCCCAACCAAGTAACAAAACACAACCATGACCATGAAACAAAAGAGTGGGCTCCCACAAGAGCCTGGCCGAAGCCTCGCTTAATGGTTGTCGAGGGTATGACGAGGCTTCGTCACTCTTCGTCAGTCTTCTGCACAGTGCACGAGCAACCTTCCGTCCTGAGGTAGCTGAGGATCCTGGCCGGGACCTGACGGGACGCCACGCGCCGAAATGTCAAAAAAACCGACATGCCAACAACGCGTGCCGACATGCCAAAAGTACGTGCCGAGATGCAGCAAAACAACGCAGCGACATGGCACAAAGCCGCGCGGACATGCCAAAAACACGTGGCGAGAGATCGAAAATGCACGCCAACATGCAAAAACATGCGCCGACGTGACAAAGCTCGGCTGTCGTCGACATACTAAACAAACACGCCGACATGCCAAACACGCGCCGACATGCCAAGAACACGCGCCGATAGGCCAAAACATCCCAGATGCTCACGCGCAAAGGTGTGCAAATGCAGCGTTAAGGTCTAAGAACAGAACTTGTGCGAGTAGAGCACAGTGAGTCAGAAGACCTCAAAGGACATACCTAAAGGCTTACAAGTGATCTCAGGCTGACACCAACAAAACGTTCTGATCATACACTCAACTTACCAAAATCGGCCGTATAAAGCGCCTGAAGCCCACCAAAAACCAAAGCGCAACCCGAAGCCGGATGCTGCACAGACCCTTAACCATCGCAGGTATGGAAGCCAAAGCCCCTGACCCAACAAACGTGACAGGAGCACCCCGGTATCCTCCCGCGCCGCCGACGCCGCTCGCGCCGCCCGCGCTGCCACCGCCACCACCACCGCCGCCACCGCCGGCGTACGCACTGCCGCCACCACCGCCTCAAGCGTGATGGGGCTTGGGTTGCAGCAGGGGCCGAGAGGTTTGTTGTTCATGGACATGGGAGGAAAGAAGCCCGACCGAAGTGTTCTTGAACTGCGAGAAGCCTTGAAGCTGCAAATACGCAGGCTTACAAGCATTCTTTCAACACTCTGAAGATCTGAGCAGTCATCACGCTTGAAATGCGAAAGCGTTGGTTCTATGCGGAAGCAAGCTGCTACATGGTGTGGACAAGCATGGCATGACGTGTTTGACTATGACAGGTTGACAGCGCACTACGAAATCAGCACCCACGTGCAACCTTTGTTCAGAGGATCTAAAGTGACCCAACCTGCATCCGTTTACGCACGACTTGACCTTCAGGGCTCTTATTAAACTCTGATGATTGGGCCAATGGTGCTGCAGACACTTTATGACCTACAGAGCTTTCGACTAACATAACCTTGGAACGATTGCAACTTGCAAGCCGGGCATTTCCTGCTGCTGTTGCTGCTTCTACTGCTACTCCTTCTTCTACTCCTCCTTCTACTACTCCTACTACTCCTACTACTCCTACTACTACTACTGCTGCTGCTACGACTACTACTACTACTACTACTACTACTACTACTACTACTACTACTACTCCTTCTACTACTACTACTACTACTACTACTACTACTACGACGACTACTACTACTACTACTACTACTACTACTACTACTACTACTACTACTACTGCTGCATCTGCTGCTACTACTACTACTACTACTGCTGCTGCTGCTGCTACTACTACTACTACTACTACTACTACTACTACTACTACTACTACTACTACTACTACTTGTGAAGTCGACCAGCACTGGACTTGCACTAAGCCAATGCAATCACAGCCCGGTCACGCTGTTTTACGACTTCGCGAGTTCAAGCACTTGTGCAGCTACGCCTGAGTGCGTCCGGTCGGACCGCACAGCAACCTAAGAGCTACTGTACGAAACTACCGTGCTCAAAGGCACAAGCTCGGTACTTGAGCCAAAATATTGGCATTGATTCGAATTGCAAAACTCTACATGCAAAGGAAAACTACAAGGTGGTCTGCCGAGTCCTAATGCATCACAGAGCAGAAGATGCATATGCACTCATGTCAGCTCACATTCGCCCCTCAGCCGAGGCTCCGGTGAGTGACTTCCACAAGGAGGGCGGGCGTCCGTCGCGGCTTTGGGCGCAAGCCCGCAAACGAAGACACGCGAAACGAGACGACCCAAACGAACGACCCTCCAAAACCAGCCTGAACCAGGCGCTCCGGTCTTTTGCACGACCTGAGTCGAGGCTCCAGTACACAGAGCCCACTGAGTGCTTTGAGGACTGCTACGGCAGACACTGAAATCTATGGTACAGATGGTACACTGTACACGGCCGGTCCTAAGCTACGGCTACGGCTACTCACCTATCCAGAACTACCCTACGGGCTACCGGACTCAGCGAGAGCCGCGCACATTGCTCGTGCCGCAGGCAGTGCAGCTCGCGCGCGCTTCGGCGAGCGCACTGCCGCGACCAGGACACGGTCCGCAGCAGCCACAACGGGCTGGGAAGAAAAGTGCGGGTAGGCAAAATGGGCAGGGAAAACCCCTGCCGCGGCTCTTCGCCCGCAAGCAAAACACGATCAAAAGAGGCTCGACAGCGTGCCGCGCTGTGATGCCTAAGAAATCGCGTGGAAACCCCTTCCACGCCGCGCCGACTGGCCGCAGCCTACTCGATACCCTGTGGAGCAGTGTTGGGGGCACGAGCGGTGTTGCCAGCAACGTTGGAGCTACTGGCTCGCTCCAACTGAGGGCGCTTTGCGACTGCCTCATCGAGGGAGAATGCCTCAGCCGACACCCTCTGGAAATCCTCGATGTAGGACTGCACGACTGAGTGCGTCTTGGGGACCTCAAGCCTAAGCCCTGCCTCCGCATTGGCCTTGCTGCTTGTGGTAAAATTGAGGCTCCCAATCAGCACCACCGCGCCTTCAGGCCGCAGTAGGCAAAGGGCCTTGGCATGGTGCAGCCCTTGAATCCCGGTGCCTACCTTAGCCCCGCGGCCGTCGCGAGCATAGGCGTCGCGCACGGATGTGCCACAACCCACCTTCACCTCGGCACCTGCGGCCGCCAAGCGTTTCAACGCTTGCCACTGAAGCTTGGTGCGGTGGCATTGTCCCACGTCGGCGACAATCCGAACGCTTGCGCCCTTGCCAAGCGACGCTTCGATTGCCTCGATGCAGGATGGGCAATCCAAGCTGTACGCCCGGATGTAGATCACATCCTCTGCTGCTCCAGACCCAAGCAGCGTTTGGGCGGCCTGAACGTATGGCCCGCCCGCAAGGAATTCCGCTTCTTTGACTGGAGAACTCCTAGCGGGGGCTGGGCCCTTGTTCCTCCGGCCTGGCGTGCGCGCCACAATGGCAGTGGCGGCACGTTGCACGGAGCCGGACTGTGCGTGGGCCGCGCTCGCTCCATCTGCTGGGGCCGCGGCCAGGTCACGACCCGCGAGCCCCTGAAAGCAGGAGAGCCCGCGGCTCTTGGCCGCCAGTTGGGAGAAACATCCTTCACTGTTTCCCAAACCCAACACAACCTTACCCTTAGCCAGGGTTTCGGAGGCGGTACTCCGAATGGAGTCTGTGAGCGCAGGACCCGCGCCTCGCTGGGCCGCGTGCAAAAACCCTAAGGAACGAGCGGTGTCCATTGCGGCATCGCAATGCCCGCAGCGTCCTTCTGCCAGGTAAGCACGACAGCCACAGGCAGCTGTCTCCTCCTTGAGGTGCACCCAAACCTTATGGGTCACCCCTTTCTTGGAGCTCGCGACCTCAAACGTCGCTTCAGAGCCAAGGAGTTGAGACAGCCGCGCCTCAGGGGCCGCGGTGTTGCCATGTCGCATATGCGCAATGCGATTGGCAACGGCACGACTCACGTACCACAGAACAGCGCCGCACAAAATCACTACTACCAGAGTGATGGCTGTTCCGGCGACCCACACGGTCCGCCTGGCCCCATGACCGATTTCCTCGACAACGTCGGCCGAAACCGTTGCAACCGCGTGCATGGAGTCCTCGACAACATGCACAACCCCGCGGTGCAACTGCAAGGCAATCGGCGCTGACGCTGCAGCCGCCAGGCCCCACCAGCCGTTGATGTTCCCGTTGAGGGCGTGCGTCAACCGATTGAGGAGCCCGCGACCCAGGAAGAAGGGGGTCCGCGGCGGAAGCGGAACACTTGGCGGCGGCCGGGCCGACCCGCACGGGAAAGCTGGGACCCAACTTGTGCTTGGGCGGGGTTGGAGCGCGGCAACAATGCCCGCGGCGAAAGCGCCCCAGGCGTACTTGCCCCTCCCCTTGGGCTTGCACTTGGCATCGGACTTGCCTCTGCCCTTCGGCTTGCCCTGGCCCTTGCCACGGGCGTCTGCCCAAGCACTCCACGGGTCGCGGCCCTTCCCGTACGTCGCCTCTTCGCGACGTCTCTTGCCGCCCCTCTTCTTGTGTTTACTTCTAAGAAGAGGCTGGATGGTTTCCTGGTCCATCGCGCGGTTGGCCAGAAGGATCTCGTACTCCAGCTCGTCCTGGCTGCTTTCCGAGCCCGAGTCCCTCTCTTCGCCGCGCCGCGGATCCGGGATCCCGCGGGAAACGACCTCTGCCAAGCGGAGAGGCGTGCTGCACCGAAAGCACAGCTGCCTGAATGAAAGGTTCCATTCATAGCAGTTAGGGCACTGCCACCCTGCTATGCGGAGCGCCTCGCTGATGTGATCATCGCGCTCCGCCTTCTCCGCCTGGCGCCGCTCCCGCTTTTTGGCGCGCTCGGCCGCCCGCGCCTCCTCGGCCGCCTGGAGGGCTTCAGCGAGTTCCTCATCGCTGAGAAGCCTCGC